CCCAAACCAAAAACCAAACCCCAAGTCATGGCGACCCCAGTGTTACAGAGTAGAATTGCTCCATAGGGTTTTCTTGGCTGTAATATTTAGAGAAGCAGTTTGCCAGGCCTTTCTTCTGTGGTGCTGCTGGGTGGGTTCGAACTGCCAACCTTTTTGTTAGCAGCCAAGTGCAAACCATTTCGTCACCCAGGGACCTTTTTCTTGCCAGGACCCTATTAATATACTGTGGAACCAGGGTTCTCTCGAACCCTCTTGGCAACTGCTGGTGCTGACCCTCTTCTTCTTGGCCTCTCTGACAGAAATGGACGTGACAGCCCCCCGTTCCTGCAGCTGCGCTGCCCCCAACCCAGCCCAAGCCACCGTGCCCAGTGGTGCCAGTGCACTGAGCTTCTCAGCCCTGCCCGGTGTGGCTGTGACAACCGCTCCACTTGCTGACCTTTGCACGTCTTCCCGTCTGGCTGCAGCGTGAATCCTACCGGGCAGCTGCAGCGCACGCCAGTGGCTGTGTCCTTGCATGTCCGGTCGCAGCCTCCGTTATTGACAGCACACGTCTCTGGGAAAGGAAAGACAGAGACGCTCAGCACCCTCAGGCGGAAGCCACCGCCTTTCCCCATCCATGTGCTAGGAGACCTGGATTCCAGTTCCGCCTCTGATACTCCCTACTTGTGGGGCCCTAGGGAAGCTGCGCTGCCTCTCCAAGCCTCAGGCCCCCCATCTGTAAAATGGGGTTGCTGGTGAGGATCTAATATGACAACGGATGGGAAAACTTCTTGCAAACCATCAAGGCTGGTGCGCATGTAAATGTTACTGCCAACAGGGTCAAATCGCTACTGGGGGGCCAGCCTGGAATCTAACTACCCAGGACCAGATTCCTACACTCTTGCCCTGCCTGGTCACAGGCTCCAGGGCCAGCTTGGTGGTGACTGGGCGGCTAGCAGCGTCCACCATCTCCTCTCGGCATGAACGGCCGTGGTCCTGGCCGCATGAGGGAGGGAGGCCCTCGGAGCCCGCGACCATCCCTCACCTGGACGAGGCACTCAGCCCAGCATCTGTTCTCACTGAACGGTAAGCCAGGGCATCTGGTTTTTGTTCACTTGAAGCTTGTCTAGTTTTTTGTCCTCCTTTCATTAATGGAAAGGGGCAGGGAGGGGCTGGGGGCCTAGCTGAAGTCACAGAGCCCAGGGAAGCGGTGTGAGTGAGGCTCCCCAGGCGGGGAGGGGCTGCAGAGCCAGGTCACTGGGCGCGGGCAGCTCCAGTCTCGTCAGCCCGTCTCTTCCTGCGCATCTGGCGCGCTTTGATCTCGGGGAGACGGTACTGAGTGGGCTGCCCCTTCTCTGCTGCTGGGAAGCCAGGAGCCACCTGCAGCCATCTTGCATAGTCTGTGAATTCCCCTGCCTGCTCCCCTCTGGCTTCAGCAGGCACCCGCCCTGGCGGCCCTTCTCCCTGACGGCTCTCCCTACCGGTTTACTGTTAGTGTCTGTCCTTTGGAGGTGTCTGTCTTTCTGCCGGCTGCCTTTGGTCCTCTCAGGGAGGAGTTTCGGTAAATGAATGTAGGAGCAAATGAATAAATGAATATCTACCCCCCAGTTGCCAGGAGTCCCTGCTGTTGATTAGACCAAATTCATGGTGCCTTTCCTTTGACCTTCAACTTGGGAAGGGGTGGGTGGCTTAGAGAGAGAGGAAACCCAACCTTCCCTCTGTGTGCGTGCACGTGCACCCGTACGTTTCTGCGGGGTGGCAGTGGGGTGCTACCTGCCGCAGAGGCTGTCCACCCTCCTCCTCACGGCCATATTGTCACCACGGGAGGCCAAGCTGTGACTACGTGTTGTTGGGTACCGTCGAGTAGCTACCGACTCATGGCGACCCCATGTGTGCAGAGTAGCACTGTGACCTTTTCAGAAGCAGATCACCAGGCTTGTCTTCCGAGGCGCCTCTGGGTAGGTTCAACGGGCCAATCTTTTTGTTAGTTGTCGAGTGTTTAACCATTTGTGCCTCAAGTCTCCTTGCCCTGACTCTTGCTGGCCCTCTCTTGCAGCGTCTCCACATACCCCAAGCCTCCAGCTGGGGTGGGCAGTTTCTGTGAACCAATCACACATCTCCCTACCTCCCTGCCTTTGCAGGGCCCTGCTGCTGGAAGGTCTCCCCCTGCTTGTCCCTGAGGGACCAGCTCCAAGCCTGCCCAGTGAGGTGCCCCCAAGGCCCCAGACACAAAAGGTGGCCACGGCCTTGCCCGCTCGGGCAGGGGGGCCGCCTCCGTCAGCGCAGGCAGTTCAGATGGCACTCGCCTGCTCGTGCCAGCCCGTCGACTGGGGCAGGCCTGGGTGGGGATCCCACTGCCCCTCACCAGGTGACCCAGGCAGGACACCCTCCTCTCTGGACCCAGCACCGCGCCTGTGAACCGAGGCCAAGCCTTCCCTCACCACTAAAGGCCTGGCCCACCTGGTGGTAGGAGCTGCTTAACAAACGCCCGTTTCTTCTCCTGGGGTTACAACCAGAGGAAAAACCCGGCCCCCAACCCCAAATCAAAGAGCCTGCATATCCCCAAGTGCCTTTCAAGCCTTTCATGTGGGACAGCCCTCTCTGGAGAGGGGGCAGAGAATGGGCTGGCTTTCCAGGTGCAAGTAATTAAGGCTCGGGCCTCAGGGAGGTAGGGAGCACTCGAGTGGGGGCACAGCCAGGGTAGCCTTCCTCAGTGACAGTAGATGACCCCCCTGGCCTCTCCAGGGTGGGGTGTGCGGGGTACTAGGAATTGTGTCCCTGAGAAATGGACCAAGCCAAACAGGCTCCAAGAGATACTTCCCTTCCTGAAGGCCTGGATGGAACTGGGAAATCTGTTGGCCAGTGAGGAGGGGGCCTCGGGGGTCCCCTGACCCAACCTGTCCCCTGGGCAGACTGAGGTGGAGAAGGGGCTTGTGTGGGACCAGCTCGGTCCCGGGTCTCTGGACCCTCCGAGCAGGACTCTGCCCCTGCACAGTTCTCCCTATGGCCCGCCAGTGGCTGGCGCCTGAGCAGCTTCAGTTTGAACAAGGGGCTCTGGGCCTCCAGGAGGGGCCCTGAGCTATTACTGGTGCTGACAAGCCCACCCCATACCAGCCCCCTTGGCCCTTCTCCTCACTGCAGCCCTGTGAGCCCACTACTCCTGGGCCCTCCACTCCACGGACAGGCCCAAGGCACCCAGACGCCATGGAACCTGCCTGAGGCTATGCCACAGAGCTGGATGAAACCAGCTGTAACCCCGCGGCTCCTTGGGGTCAGTGGCCACACGACAGCCTTGAATCTCACTGTCCAGCCAGACCCAGCTCCGGGCACGTATAACCAGATACCCGCTGGGGCCTTGGGCTCAACCTTCCACCTTCCTCCCCTACCTGGTCCTCCCCCGGTGCGCCCTGCCTCTGCGAACAAATCTGCCCAAGGCCGAACCTCAGGAGCCTGCCCCTTCCTTTCCCTCCCTCACCCCGGCGGTACCCAGGCCCTGGCCTTCCGACTTCCATCTCCTGATCCCAGCCTGTTCTTACTGCTGCTGTCCTGGGCCAGGTCACCACCTCCACCTATGTGACCACTGCACCTCCGGTGGTCCCTCCTCCTCTGGACCGCCGCCTTCATTCTGGGTAGCTGGAGGACTTGTTCTAAACCCGAAACGTCGCCAGTCACACCCCACCACCTTCAGGCTCCATAATTATGCTAACAGCCCCATCCACTAAGGGCTTCCTGGGGCTGCGTTCTGTGCCGGGGCTGGGCAGGGCGGAGCCTCTCCTTAGGCCTCCCTGCCATGGGACTTCAGGCCTCCTCTCCACCCATGGGATCTCAGGCCTCCTCTCCACCCATGGGATCTCGGGCCTCCCGCCCCCGGGGACACCCCCCACTTGGCCTGGCTCCCCCTCCACGAAGCAGGGATGGAAGGCTCTCCTTGCCCGTCCTCCTCAGCTCTATTGCTCTGAGGTAATCAGCGTAAACTGTGAAGTGCAGTACACGTGAAAAGGGTCACAATGAAACCTACCCAGGTCCTCGGGGCTAAAGTGGCGGAGGGGGGCTGGGTGCTGAAGTCTACAGTTACGGGACGGGGGTCCCTGGTGAGCCTGACGGTGGTGGGGGGCTCCAGGCAGAGGCTACTGGGTGCTGCTAAGGAGGCTCCCACCACCGATGGCCCATCAGCCGGAGTCACTGCCGGGTCCCCCATCTCTGAACACCCCAGGGAGCAGCCTCAAATCTCTGCTCCCAAGAACAGAGGCCACTCAGACCCAGTGTTAGGCCGTCATGGTCTCAGAGAGAACAGAAACCAGACTGCCCCATCCCCTCCCTACAGCGGGGAATCTCGACTATGGCGTCATCCCAAATGCAGAAAGCAAATGGGAACTGAGCTCTGGCCTTGAGAGAAGTGTGGGAGGGCCTAGCAGACAGGCCCTCCTCCTCGCCCCATGGCCTTCCCTGGGGCCCTGCCCCAGCCCCCCATCCTCCCAGGGGCCAAGTTCCCAGAGCTGGGGCAGGAGGCGGCCCTGTGAGGCACCCCTCATCTGCAAACACAAGCTGGGAGGTGAGATGAGGTCTCCTGACAGAACTTTGGGCTATGGATGGAAAGGAGAGGGCAGAGCGGACCCCACGGACACTGAGGCCTTCCTTTCTGACCCATGAGCCTGCCAGTCTCTCCTTGTATCCAGGTGACAGCTTCCAGGTCTTTCTAAAGGTGTCCACGCTGCACCTGGGGAAATGGTGGGGACAAGCCTCCCGGGAGTACAGCCCATAGCTGACAATGCATCTCCTGACCCCTCCTCCATGAGCCTTACAGAAGCCCTGGAGGGGGCCCTTCACAGGCTGGGAAACTAAGACTCAGAGAAGCTAAATGACTTGTCTACCCAGGACCAGCTACATAGTTTGCTAGGCCCAGGACAAAACAAAAACGCAGGGCCTTTTGTTAAACAATTATCAAGAACTTCAAGACAGAGACCGCAGAGTATTAAACCAATTGTGGGCTCTTCTAGTGGAGGCAGGGGGTGGGGGCTCTGTGGACTGTCTGGCTTGCACACCCGTGAAGCTGGCCATGTGTCTCGGATCACACAACTATTGGGAAGGGCCAGTACTTGAACCCATGGCTGTGACACTCCAGGTGGGTGAGTGAGTCTGGCCAGGCCACAGAGCAGGGGCCAAGGCAGGTGGAGACCTTTGATCATGATGCCCTGACCTCTCAGCCAGCAAGTCGGGGAAGGGTCCTACCCCCAAGGCTGGGATGGCAAAGGGGAAGGAAGACCAGGTGTGGGGACGGGGTCTCAAGTGCGAAGGGGCCCTGGAGAGAGCCCCTTTTCCAGCAGGCAGGAGAGCCCCAGACAAGTTAGGAGGCCTCGTCTTGGGTCTGTCCCTGTGGAGCTCGTATTTGGGTACAGGAGATGCAGCCGAGCAAGGGAGGCAATCCCTGCCACGCGGCTGGGCCAGGGCTCTGATGGGGAGGCCAGGGCGAGGGCCCGAGGATGCCTTTGTGGTCTGGGGACAGTGTCCACCATGGAGCAGTGGGAAACCATGAAGCAGGATGGCGGGAAGCCAGGGCTCCACTGCTGGCTGCAC